AACATATTCTCGCCCATGGGCCTGCCCATGGGCCTACCCATGGGCCTGCCCATGGGCCAAACCTTTTTCTCGCCCATGGGCGAAATATTTCAATATCGCTATAAAATCGTTGAATTAAGTTAAAATGAGTTTAATTTTGTGTCATGATACTTGAATGAATACATTAAATGTATTTGCGAAACAAAAACATGAGTTTTAAGTAAAGGAACATATTCTCGCCCATGGGCCTGCCCATGGGCCAAACCTTTTTCTCGCCCATGGGCGAAATATTTCAATATCGCTATAAAATCGTTGAATTAAGTTAAAATGAGTTTAATTTTGTGTCATGATACTTGAATGAATACATTAAATGTATTTGCGAAACAAAAACATGAGTTTTAAGTAAAGGAACATATTCTCGCCCATGGGCCTGCCCATGGGCCAAACCTTTTTCTCGCCCATGGGCGAAATATTTCAATATCGCTATAAAATCGTTGAATTAAGTTAAAATGAGTTTAATTTTGTGTCATGATACTTCAATAAATACATTTAATGTATTTGCGAAACAAAATCATGAGTTTTAAGTAAAGGAACATATTCTCGCCCATGGGCCAAACCTTTTTCTCGCCCATGGGCGAAATATTTCAATATCGCTATAAAATCGATTGAATTAAGTTAAAATGAGTTAAATTTTGTGTCATGATACTTGAATGAATACATTAAATGTATTTGCGAAACAAAAACATGAGTTTTAAGTAGAGGAAAATATTCTCGCCCATGGGCCTGCCCATGGGCCTACCCATGGGCCAGACTTCGCCCATGGGCAGGCCCATGGGCCAGACTTCGCCCATGGGCAGGCCCATGGGCGACATAGTCTAAATATTGAGTTTTTAAACAATTTTGTTTTCATTTTTTCTTCCTTGATATGTTCCCATGAAAACGGCATGTTTAATTTTGTAAATACCTTTAACCGAGACTGGGCAAAGAGCGTAGAGTTTCTGGACTTTTGGGTTTCCAGAATTAAAATGGGACGTGTTGTACACTTATCTGATTTAAACAATTACACTGGACGGTTGAATGCGGCTTACAACTTTAACACTTGAACATTAAAGGAATGGGTACACTTATCTGATTTAAACAATTACACTGGACGGTTGCCTGCGGCTTACAACTTTCACACCTGAACATTAAAGGGAGGGGTACACTTATCTGATTTAAACAATTACACTGGACGTTTGCCTGCGGCTAACAACTTTAACACTTGAACATTAAAGGACACTTATCTCATATACACAATTACACTGGACGGTTGTCTGCGGCTTACAACTTTAACACTTGAACATTAAAGGTAGGGGTACACTTATCTGATTTAAACAATTACATTGGACGGTTGAATGCGGCTTACAACTTTAACACTTGAACATTAAAGGTAGGGGTACACTTATCTGATTTAAACAATTACACTGGACGGTTGTCTGCGGCTTACAACTTTAACACTTGAACATTAAAGGGAGGGGTACACTTATCTGATTTAAACAATTACACTGGACGGTTGCCTGCGGCTTACAACTTTAACACTTGAACATTAAAGGACACTTATCTGATTTAAACAATTACATTGGACGGTTGAATGCGGCTTACAACTTTAACACTTGAACATTAAAGGTAGGGGTACACTTATCTGATTTAAACAATTACACTGGACGGTTGAATGCGGCTTACAACTTTAACACTTGAACATTAAAGGAATGGGTACACTTATCTGATTTAAACAATTACACTGGACGGTTGCCTGCGGCTTACAACTTTCACACTTGAACATTAAAGGAATGGGTACACTTATCTGATTTAAACAATTACACTGGACGGTTGCCTGCGGCTTACAACTTTCACACTTGAACATTAAAGGGAGGGGTACACTTATCTCATATACACAATTACACTGGACGGTTGGCTGCGGCTTACAACTTTCACACCTGAACATTAAAGGAAGGGATACACTTATCTCATATACACAATAATTATTACTCTGTACGATAGAGGTATCATTTCGTCATTGTAAATTTCATATTTTTACCTTTCGCTTTATTCACGAAGTAAACCATTTCGTAGGTGCGAAGGAGTGTCGTGTCATCAGGCGCCACTCTCAATTCATGAAGGTAGCACGTTCCAGCTTTTGGGAAGGAGTGTGTGCAAAGTCAGAAAGGAATGTGAACATTTATCCCTTATAGTGTAACCATAGAGTTCTAGATTTTTGCCATTAAACAATATAATCGCGTGACTAATCACGGGTCCGAGTAGTCCCGTGGGTACCTGGGTCCTACTCAGTACCTACCCGACCCGGTAACCCGAGTTACCCGTCCCAGCCCTAGTGGTCACAATAAAACTCGTGTTTGGAAGATGCAAGTTTTTGAAGCGGATGAGATAGACCCATGACGATGCGACCGATGGGGCAAGGGTACGTTCATCTTTGGCGACCACCTAGGATAATCACGAGTTGATGGTGAATAAATAAAAAACACAAGTCATGCTTATGATGTAGTCTGATTCGTACAATGGACTCTGGTTTTAGTGGAGATTTATTGTGTTTTTATATTTTGTTGATATTATTAACGCCCCTTTGAACATTGCAAAGTACGACCAAAAAAAGAAATATGGCAACTAAGACTGCCGTAAATAGGAAAAAACAACGGCAAAATGTGACTAAGTCTCATACTGATGTGAAGAATACTGATTTAATTCAAATTGGATACTGATGAAAGATACACTGAATTGGATAGTGCAATAAACATGGCATTTTGGAATTTGATGACTGTTTTATGTTCCTATCGCCTATGAGTATGATTTTGATGTTGTTAACCGTTATCGTTATCAGTTAACGTCAATATCGCCCAATAACCTCAGTATGTGTACACTCAAGACACCTTGAAACAGACAACCAGACATTATTGATATCGCCTTACCCCAGACATATTCAAATGGCAGTAAATGCTTGACATTTTCGTCGGTGTGACTTTTGGCCATCGCACAGTTTATTTTGGTATCAACTTATCCATAATTCAACATGAAATCTCGACTGTTCAATTTGATAACATATTCTTCCGAAAAACCGTTACAATATCATTGCCAGCTGACCTTTAATTTACCAAAATATAACGTGAGAACATTTTGCTTCGAACACAATGCCATTTAGAAAGTGGTCAAATGTAACAAATGTTATATTTTGGAAAACACTAGTACAGATTCTAGTACTTTTTTAGTTTGAGACCCATCCGGGATTCGAACCCACACTGCCAGAGAGAGGCACCTAATCGCCAGCACACAAAGTCTTTCATGAAAATGTTAAACATCAACGACTTGCGTCAATTTATAATGATTCCGGGGCGGTGGGGTAGCCTAGTGGTTAAAGCTTTCGCTCGTCACGCCGAAGATCCGGGTTCGATACCCTACATGAGTACAATCTGTGAAGCCCATTTCTGGTGTCCCCCGCCGTGATTTTACTTGACTGTTGCTCACATATACTCTTCATTTTACACTTAAACACCGCTGTGTCGAAGTTGAAGGGACTAACGTTAATAATTCGAGTTATCCAATGTTCGACAAGACCGAAAATGACGAATAAAGAAGGAATACGCAAGTACGATGCTTTTACTTCGAGACAACCGTAAGTTGGACACAACGATGTTTGACTGTGTATTATTTTATCAACTAAATCTCTCTTTTTCTTGTCATTATCCGTCTTACGTGTTACAATTCCACATTTCCGCTCAGTGGGCTGATCCTGATTAGTTTAGAGTATGATATATTTTCTGAGTGGTCATTATTTCTTTTTCTTTTTTCCCCATCATGGATTCCCATGAGAATGGAGCCCCAGTTGTCTACCCTTAAGACGTGGTGATTTGAGGGAGTGTCATTGTTTGCACTATCAAATCAGTCGATTGTCTGTTCCAGACTTCATTAATAACTTAATGGACTGTGTATTTCTGTACAATATAATTTGACATAAACAATAATTGTAATTGTGCGTCGATTCCTTGGCAATATTGAACGCTATACAACATCTCGAGGCACTCCCCACTCATAACATCCCTATCAAAAGTTGAGTAGTGTAGTTTCAAATTCCAAGTAAAGTCGAGTGCGTGCATCTTCCCCAGGCAAGCGTGTCCAATATCCTTGTCAAAGCCTAGCTTCTAACCCTGGCACACCAAGGCAACTTTTCTTAGCTCGACCCTGGCGCCACCTCGCGTAGTTCACGAGTTGTGCCCCTTGTAATGAAAACGCGATATCCAATCAGATCGCTGTTCTTATCTCGTATAGCTTCACCAAGATGGCGACTACCGCAGGCGACGACCTAGTCGACCAGATAACGAAAACATTCACGACTTCATCCCTGACACAAAAATATAGGCAATTAAAAGATGAAAAAAACAAAACAAAGACAGACAGCGGTAAAACACTTTCATACGAAGGTGTACCAGTCGTGGATGTTGATTTTGTGAGACGTTCTCATATTTACTAAATACATTTCCACCCTTGCCACATGAAGCCCACTTTCCTGTGCTAAATGACCCGTGAAAAATCCGGGGTAGAATAGGTCTTCAGCAACCCATGCTTGCCGTCGTAAAAGGCGACTATGCTTGTCGTAAAAGGCGACTTACGGGATCGGGTGGTCAGGCTCGCTGACTTGGTTGATGCATGTCATCGATCCCAATTGCGTGGATCGATGCTCATGATATTAATCACTGGATTGTCTGGTCTAGACTCGATTATTTACAGACCGCCGTCATATAGCTGGAATATTGCTGAGTGCGGCGTAAAACAACCAACCAACCAACCAATCCTGTGCTAAAAAATTTAGCACAGGAAAGTGGGCTTGATGTGGCAAGGGTGGAAACAAGACTGATCAAACGGCTAGTGGACGATCTTGCCTCGGGAAGATGGAGTGCATGGGTCTACGATCACTTCATAAAACATAGTTCTTTATCTTAGGTTTAGGTGCAATGAAGCTGTAAGACATGTGATGACGTTTAAGGTTGTTTATTAGAGCAACACACTGGTTGGTCATGGCAATACATGGACGTGTTACTCCCAGGGTCTGAAACTAAAAAGCACATATTACAGCAAAGTTGATTCTTGGTTGTTTATAACATTGAAATGAATTATCAAGGTATGCACAATTTTAGACTACAAACTGTCGTTGCCGTTGCGCCGGATCTTCACGGGTTAATGGTATGTACAATTATAAACTACAAAATGTCGTTGCCATTGCCCTTTCCACATTCAATTTAGGGCGGTTAAATCTACAGTTAACAATGGATGTTCACATTCTAATAATCACAAATGTCGAAATGCCTCATAGTTAACATACAATCTCATTAAAATCAGATCTTAGTTCTCGCTGGCGCTTAACAAAGATCTGATTACATCCCATTACGGGTCACGTCAGGCCGACCTTTCGCGAACTCTGACCGACCAATGGAATTACTGACAAGAAGTCGACATTAGCCAATCAGAAGGCAGCTTTCTCGTGCTTTACGGCACTAATTTCAAATTGGCGACTACGCTTCGAAACATATTTTGGCACTTTCTCGCTTAAAAAATTGAAACCTGAACAAAAAACATTCTCGAATGGCTAATATATGGTCTTGATTATATAGATTCAGTCGTTAAGCCCGTAATTATCTTTCGGAATACGCCGTTTAAAAGTTTTCGAGGCTGCATGATGAGAAATCACATTCCTACTGTCACTTTCATGATCTGGTAAGCGACGCTCTGATTGGTCGGATGAAAGATCGTTCTGACGTGACCCCTAATGGGATGTCCTCAGATCTTTGTTTAGCGGTAGCGAGAACTAAGATCTGATTTTAGTGAGATTGAGTTAACATATTAATTATAATCACATGGTCTTCCGTTATGCTTAGACTCCACGTTAGAAGTAAAGAAATGTTCACAGGACCGTTAATCCTGAGGCAGTCACTCATAGTGGTTACCTCCCTTGTCGCATCAGTTTCCTTGAGGTTGCTGAAGACTTTTCAGAACCAAGACATAGATCTGCAATTTAAACGAAAACATAAATATACCTAAACACTGAAAAAATAAGTCGATTCCAAACGATGTTTTAAAGTAATAGCTATGTAATTCTCCTCTGTCTCTCTTTGCCTACAAAGTATGAGCTTAAACGTGGGCCCGTGTTTGCCTGCAAGATCTACATAAATTAAGAATGAGCTGACGTGTTACAAATTGTAATGGAAGTGTTGAAATTGATTTGTGTTTATTCATAAGAATGAGAACTATTCTTCAAACCAATGCTTGCAACACATGCATGTTACCGCCTCACACTGGTAAGGGAGGACAGTTAACTTCTTAAAGGGCTTGTTTGTCCTCACAGATAAACAACAGTGTCTCTTTGATATCAGCGACGTTGAGGGTAACTTGACTTCTTAATATGAGCGCACTCCTCGTTCATATTATAATTCAGGTAAACTGAAAGATGGACGAAATATATTCTCTACGGTAAGGTGTGGTTTCCTCCCTGTATATATTGAGACTTGTTACTCTAAGCCATCTACATCTTTGATACAGAGAACATTGGATGCTGTTTGAACTGTCATGCCGCTGTTGACAATTAGACTTTGTCACTGACTGTCATTTTTATTCTGACCTGAGGTTTGATTGAACTCCAATCATTCTATGTAGAAACTGTGATACATGGTAATAGGTAGCAACCTCTTCTCGTCTTAAGTTTAAGACTCCAGTTAACAGAAGAGTGAGTGAGTGCGTTGGGTTTAACGCCGCTTTTAACAGTATTCCAGTTATATCTCGGCGTGTCAGCTTAATGTGGGAGGAAAGCCCGAAGTGATGCAGGTCTCAGACGTTTACCACTTCGGTGAAACCCATGGGCACGGGTATGTTGCTGACAAACCTAGAAACATTATCGGTGCGAACTGGGATTCAAGCCCTCAATCATAGGTTTCTGGCGTGCACAAGGGACACAACTCTGCACAGCGAATCGCGGCGCCTTAGACGACTGGGCCACCCGTGCCCCCGGTTAACAGAAGAAGCGAATTTGATATTGTTTTATAAACGCTTCAATTACCCCCCTTTGACCTTTGGATGGGGCAGCCATTTTATCCCCAAAAAATAAATTGTCCCCGAAAGTGCTTGAAAAAACGAAACAATTATGATTTAGATTGTTGAACAAAATTAGATTGTCTCCAGTGTTGTTTTTGGTTTTTTTATGTATATGCAAAATATTTTATGTACACATGTGTGAACTGAATGTACAATATTTAGGATTGAGACAGCCTGTATTGTGTATTTGCTGAAGTGGGGTACATGTTTTTATACACAACTTTTCAGGAAATAATTAATGTATGTTTATGGTGAGTTTTAAATATAGTCTCTCATAAACCAAAATTGGTGGCTTTTGTACATTTAAACGTAAAAAATGTAGTCTCTCTGTCTGTCTCTCTGTCATATCCGAAATTTCGAAATGGACGATAATTCGTTATAACCGATAGTTCCTATTTTTGATACTTCGTAATAAGCCGATACTTCGGTAAAATTGAGGATTCATTATAGTCGATTCTTTGTTATCGCCGTTATAGTCAAATACCTTGTCTTAGACAAAATACCTCGTAATGGTTCCTGGTTAAAGCCACGCCGTCACGCCGAAGACCCAGGTTCGATTCCCTACAAGGGTACAATATGTGAAGCCTATTTCTGGTGTCCCCCGCCATGGTATTCCTGGAATATTGCGGTGTGTCAGGTGTCTGAGTGGAATATGCATGGTAAACTGCAGCCACGTATCTCAAAGGGCCAGCACTATACAACCGGCATAAATCCGAACTAGCATTTTAATAATAGGATCTTGGAGATTGGTTAAATGAGGCAACACGAACATGTTATATTGTTTTGCATATCAATCAAACTGTAATGTGTAAACTATTTCATCAATATTGGTGGCGGGTGTTTTAGTGCCGAGACGTTGGGAATTCGAAATACCGCCACAAGTACGATTTCATCTATCGGCGAAACATTTGCAGTCGCTCATACTGTTTGTCATAAAATAACCAGTCCCGTGTAAGTTATCCGATAACCCATGTCTCAGTTGGTTATATGAATAATTTAACCTCGACAAACAACAGACATCACCTTTCCTTGAGGTGTATGGTCAAATACCTCGTTATAGTCAAATACCTCGCTCGTTTTAGTCTAATACGTCATTTTCGCCGATACTTCCTGCATAATAGATATGCTGCAGTATTACCGATACGATGTCAAACATACTTAAATAGTCAATTAATAGTCAAACCGACATCGTTTTATCCGACAGTTCGATATTGCCAATTCCGTGGTGTAACCGATACTTCGTTATACTCGAAAACTTCACCATAGCCGACACTTCGTAATAACAAATATTTATTTTGTTTATCCGACCTTAATATAATCCAAACCTTCCTATGGCCTTGTTGATAGAGACGACTTTAGTCAACGCCACTTGAAACAGAATCCGGAAATATCGCGAACACAAATAAAGGGAGATATATGGAGTTGTGATAGTTATACAGTAAAAACAAGCCATTCCGGCGATAAGGAATATTACTCACAATAATGGCAAAAATTGCAAAGTGTGCTTTTCAAGAAGTAACCTTTTTGCTGGCGAGAAAAATCATCCCCGAGTTTTTATCAAATGGTTGCAAGCCTGGTATGAATGGACAGTCAGGTGACTGCGAGGGGTTATTTTTCAAGTTGTTGAAGTGAGGTTAAATGGAGTTGAACGTCACGTACAAGAGTATTGCAGTTAGACAGCGTCGTGCATGCACATGTGTGTTAGCTGCTTGTACTAGTCCGGACTAATGCCGAGTTTATAGTGCTAGCCCACTGTGGTACCATGCCGCAGTTTAACGTGAATACTCCACTCAGACTCAGAGCCGACCACGCCAGGCAGGTAACAAGTACCATCTTTTAACGTCTTATGGTATGACGCGGGGACCATACTGTCCGACTTTGACATGGCCACAACGTCGTATTGGCAGCTGTTGATACTGGTATACAAGAACTAACTGTTCGAATTGTGGGCATCCACTTAAGATCTATCTTGAAAGCCATAACCAAACAAAACCCAAGAGCTGATAAGAGGAGTGTAACTGACTGAAACATACTCACTTTAGAGTACTGGTTAACGAATTCTTTCAAGTCAACAAGGCCATCACCTGTAACAGATATCAGAGTGTTATCATTTCGATTCAGATGAGGAGCCGCATGTTCTATAATCTGAGGGGAACTGGGAAATTTGTTTTTAAATTATTCCTGCCAGAAATTACTGGATAAAATCAAGTATTACAAACAAATGGTTCTGATATTGTTTTGTAGAAACAAGTATTTTGTCTCGACTAATCCAAGCCTTTTCTTGGGATTTTATTGTCATCTTCATGCAGACGTTGTTACATTATATCATATTTCTATGTAGGTGTTTCTCCTTTTCATCTTGTTTATGCATTCTTTTTCTCAAACCGTGGGACAGTTTTATTCAAGTGGTTTCTTAAAAGAAATAAGGGACGTATACATTTTGTTTTATCTTGCCAGAAGAGGACAAAAATGCAAACAAAATGTTATTTCGAACAAAGCCATTTAAATTTAATTTGTTAAAATTCAAATGTATTACCAACGTTTTAATTTTACTGCATCTTTGTGAAATATGGGGCAGGCGGATGATTTGTTTATAGCTCAAAATAATTAAATATATCTCATTAAAAGTAAATATATGTCATTACGTGAATTGAAAACAATGATGATAGTGACTTTCCGAGTTTGGGGACGGCCAACATGAACGATATTGATATCGTCTTTATTGAACGGTGACCTAGGTATGTGCGGTGTCAAACATTAACATGTGCAAACTAGCGTCATTAGGTCTGAGTATGCGGACAATGTGAGTTACAGTTGACCAACATGTTGTTTAGGCCAATGCCACACTGACTGGGACAACGAGTACAAAAACAATGAAAAGTGACAGATTAAAGGTGACGGGAAAAGCCAGTAAAACACACGCCCGAACGCAACCAGTGGTTTAGCCCAAATACGTGCAAAACATGACAAGTAACAGTCAATATGGGTATAAAATGCTCCATTCCGGATGCAACTGAACTGCACTCTTGGAAGTTGAAAATGCGACGTATTTCGAACACTATTCAATAATGACGCTATTTAACATCAACCAAGTCAGCGAGCCCGACCATCCGATCCCGTTAGTCGACTCTTGCGACAAGTAAGGATTGCTGAAGACCAATTCTGATAATCCACACAGCGCACAGAGCACTTATGCACAGTGAATGCTGCGCTATACAAATGCATAAATTATTATTATTATTATTATTATTATTATTATTATTATTATCCAATAAAAAAATGATGCTGATGACAATGGGCAACATGACAACGGTCCTTACTGTTCTCGTCCAGCATCTTGAACATGGAGGAAGTGATCTGTCGACTTATGGTGCCGTCATGGTCGCTATCCAAGGTCTTGAAAACAGCTTCTAAGAATTTCCTCTGAGTTGTTGCCCCTGTCGTGAACTCGTCCATACTCAAGATGTGATCATCTGTAGAAAAAAGAATCGTAGTTAATCAGCGGCTGATCCGGGACTTTGAAAAGAAGTAGTGGGCTGATGGACACTGTACACGAGTCAGAAAGTGAACGAAAAAGGCGTGACACGTTGACACGTTGTTCTCCATCACCCGTGAATAGATACGACCGCTTTGCGGTTACCGCTACCGCTGAAAGATCTGAGGACATCCCATAACGGGTGAAGTCAGACCGACCTTCGCGAACTTTGACCAACTAAGGAAAGACTGACAAATGGTCGACATTATCCAATCAAGAGGTGGCTTCCTCGTGCTTTAGGGCACTAGTTTCAAAGTGGCGACTACGCTTTGACAAATTCTCGAGTAAAAATTTGAAAACTGAACAAAATACTATTCTGGAATGGCCTGCATCACATCGTGCTTTCCTCCCACATTAAGCTGACACGCCATGATATAACTGGAATAATATTAAAAGCGGCGTTAAACCCAACTCACTCACTCACTCATGAAGAGCAACCTCCTCGTTGTAAGTGCTGGTTTACGGTTATCGCTAATGTATCATGTCGAGGGGAAAATATGCACACGACTGAGAGAGAGTTGCAACTTTGTCTGAACAAAATCAATGATTGGCCAGAGCCTTTTTTAGTTTTCTACATCTAAAACAAATTGCATTCATTTCTGTCGAAAATGAAAACCTTATAGTGACCCAGAATTGCATCTAGCTGTAACTCAAATTAAAATTGTAAAGGGAGCTAAATGTTCAGTAATAATTTTTATCATCGTACTTCCGTACCACATATTAAACTTCTGAAGCTCAATGATTGAAGACACTGGATTTATTAAAAGTTGTTTCCAATTTCATGTGGCTAGGGGACCAGTCAACCTCACTTGTACAGATCACTAATTCGTTTGAAGCTGGACTATGGCTCCATCATCTATGGTGGAGCTTTTAAAAGCAAGCTTAAACCTTTAGATTCTATCCACCGTCAAGGTCTCAGACTCTGTCTTGGATCTTTCCGACCCTTCCCTATTTACAGTTTGTACATTGAGGCCGATGAGCCACCTCTTAAACAAAACTGTATTGAATTATCTTTACAGTATATCACAAAGTTACATTCCAGTGAGTCCAATCCTGCATACAGCTGTGTGTTTAATCCCCTTTATGAGGATCTGTAGAGTACAAAAATCATCTCTTATTCCGCCTCTTGGAAAAATAATAAAACCTTATATTTCTGCCGCTAACACTGAACTTGAAACTATATCTCCTTTCCGGTTGCTGTCCTCTCCTCCTTGGCAATTGGTAAAGACACAAGTAGACCTGTCATTGACCAAACAAATCAATTACAGTACCAACAAGAGTGAGTGAGTGGATTTAACGCCGCTTTTAACAGTATTCCAGTTATATCGCGGCGTGTCAGCTTAATGTGGGAAGAAGGCCCGAAGTGATGCAGGTCTCAGACGTTTACCTCTTCGGTGAAACCCACGAGCACGGGTATGGTGCTGACAAACCTAGAAACATAATCGGGGCGAACCGGGATTCGAACCCACAATCATAGGTTTCTGGCGTGCCCAAGGGACGCAACTCTGCACAGCGATTCGCGGCGCCTTATACGACTTGGCCACCCGTGCCCCCGTACCAACAAGAATCCAATCAGTTAAGAAATACATACAATACTTCTAAATCAATATTTACAGATGGATCAAAGGATGGTGACGCTGTTGCCAGCGCCACTGTCGTCGGATCCAAAACTCTATCAACCAGATTACCAGTTAACTCTTCCATTTTTACAGCTGAATCAAAGGCCATTTTATCATCTCTAGAACATAACAAAAAGTCTAAACATCAGCAATTATTATTTTTCCTGTCTTCAAGCTATTAAAAAGAATTCGCGTCAGCATCCAGTTTTAGTCGCTTCATTGAATTATATAATAATCTTGCTTTAGTCACGATATGGCTGAAATATTGCCGATGTGACACAGGATATTAACTCACTCACTAACTCACTGACGCGCCTGGGGGACGTAACTAGTCTGCCATACAGACCCTGAAACTAATATACCCAATACAACCCATGCAAGTCTATAATGTTTGGCAAGTCTAGATTACTGCAGTATCTGAAAATGAAGAGTCTCTGGGCTCCTTTTTATATATATTAAGATAATTTAACAACTGTTTTTTCTGTAAGACATGTTCATTTTAGAGACTAGATGTTAGTCTAGGAGGTGAGGTGAGGTGAAATTGGGTTTAACGTCGCGTCCAAGATTATTGCTCTTATATAGCAATGTGCATGTACGTATGTGTGGCTGCTTGTACTAGTCCGGACTAATGCCGATTTATAGTGCTAGCACACTGAGATACCATGCCGCAGTTTAATATGAATACCCCACTCAGACACAGTATACTGACTCCGAGCCGACCAGCCCTCGTTTTAGCCCCCTAATGCCGAGTGCCAGACAGAGTAACAACAAGTACCATCTTTTAACGTCTTTTGGTATGACGCGGCCGGGGATCGAACCCCGGACCTTCCGCTCTCCGGGCGGACGCTCTACCACTAGACCACGGAGGCGGTCACTGTTAGTCTCAACTGCTGGAAGAACTCAAAGAAACACATATACGAGGGCGCGAATGCGAAGGGTCAAACTCACTGTTCGTGTCATCGTCGTCGAAGGCTTTGTACATCTCAGCTACTTCTAGGTGCCCGTTTTTATTATCGTCGAGAGTGTTGAAGATCTGTTTGAAGAAGGCGATTAACTGCGCAGCTTCCGCTGTGCTCGGCGGCGAAGTAGTCCTGTGAACAGCCAATTTTACCTGAAGATTTGTTTTGTACATACGGTAAACTACGGTTATAACGAACACGCTTATAACGAACTGGCGGATATAACGAACAGTTTTTAGGTCTCTGCCATTTGCTGTATATATGCTGTATAAATGTTATAACGAATTACGGTTATAACGAACTAGATTTTGTGGTCCCTTTGAGTTCTGTATATATTTAGAGGACTTCAATATGTTATTATTTTTGTATATATTTAGAGGACTTCAATATGTTATTATTTTTGTATATATTTAGAGGACTTCAATATGTTATTATTTTTATATATTTAGAGGAATTCAATATGTTATTATTTTTGTATATATTAAGAGGAATTCAATATGTTATTATTTTTGTATATATTTAGAGGACTTCAATATGTTGTTTTGCGTTCACAGAGTTATAAGTGTAAAATCCGGAGCGCACACTCATGCGCGGATTTACTCAGTATGTATACCGGTCTTTACCAAACAAATGATGTCAGTGCTTAAGGTAATTTAAGGATCAGTTAAACCGTTCAGTACTTTAAGTGCTTACATATACCTAATCAAAACACTAAGTGAAAATGCTGATATTCTTAATGATTCTTAAGTCGAATAAATTCCACTTCGCATTGATTAAAAGTGAGCGAGTGGGTTTGGCTTGACGTCGCTTTGAACAGAATATCAGTTATATCACTGCGTGTCATCTTGAAGTGGGAAGAAGTGATGCGGGTTTCAGATGGTTACTATTTTGGTGAAATTCACTAGCATGGGTCGGGGCCGACACACCTAGAAACATTTTCAGGGTGATTCTGGGATTCGAACCTACGATCTTATTGTGTTACACCTAAGCGACGGAACTCTATACAGTGGATCACGGCGACTAAATACGACTAGGCCACCCGTGGCCCCAGTGCCCAGTTTGACTTTTCTTTTCATTCAACACGTTATCGACGATGGAGATGCCGCTCATGTAAAGACTAGAAATATTACAATTACAGCTGCTGTTATGTATTGACTTGAACTGTAAATCCCTTGAAGGAACTGATATATTTATACACTGCTGGGCAAAAGAAAGTGTTAACATCCATGTATGATGGTGGCCTAAAATGAAACAAAAAACATGGTTAGTGGATGGTGATGTACTTGATCCGGGTGTAATAGTTTTGGAACTTAAGCTTGGCAGTATTTCGGCGACTGCTTTCAGCCCAGTAACGTGTTGATAATATCTGGTTTAATGATATCACTTAAGGTTTGCAAAAGAATTCTTGCCCAGTGGACAAAAACTTTCAAGAAGAAAAAAACATGCCAACCTTAAGTTAATAACAACGTTCTGATCAACGTCCTTAAGCAAAGTTATCAATAACAAGCCTTTTGACGCCTAGTGCAGAGTGAACTTGGACCTTCAAGGTCATCGAATCAATGTCAGAAACTAATCCCAGGCGTACATGTATTTTGGAAGGCATGAAATCTCTAACACCCTTTTCAAGCGCGTGGTTTACTATAAAACAATTGCAATGCGAGCAATCACATTAAGAGGATATGCGGAATATGCACTTGTCACGATGCCATAATAAATTAATAAGAAGTTCATCTATGCCCGCCTGACTACCAAACACCCCAGCCTCACGTCATTATGTAATGAAAAAAGACCATACACGAGTATTCCACCGCCTCTCATTTTTTAACATTTGGAAGAATAGCTAACAATCAACATATTTTGGCATTAGCATACATTTTATCCATATATACATAGGAACACAAAGAAATACAACGAAAAAGACAGTCACTTGTTGCACATGCGTTTCTTTGAATAAAAAGGCCAAACGCCACTTTTCTTCTTTCTGGGTCACCAGGGGCGGTCGGGTAGCCTAGTGGTTAAAGCGTTTGCTCGTAACGCCGAAGACCCGGGTTCGATTCCTGACATGGGTACAATGTGTGAAGCCCATATCTGGTGTCCACCGCCGTGATATTGCTGGAATATTGCTAAAAACGGCGTAAAACCATACTCACTCACTCACTGGGTTCACCATTGTGTTTCAATTTGGAAATTATCTCGTAAAAATAAAAAATAGGAACACACTGTTAGAGACAGAGTTCATGATACGATTCCGCCAAAATCATGAACTAGTGTTTATGAATCACTATCATCACTAGGGATCACACCAGGTGTCCTCGGAAATCACTGGATTGTCTGGTCCAGACTCGATTATTTACAGACCGGCGTCATATAACTGGAATATTGCTGAGTGCGGCCTCAAACAACAAACAAACAAAACCTAAAACCGCACGGGAATATATGGTACAAGGCAAAATAGGGAATTGCATCGGACATCATTTTTGTCACTGATGCGTCAACTTTGGAAATGTCCTCAACATCATCGGCTCACACGTCTTCCAAAATATAACTCACGTGGGTGCAGCAAACGCCCCGGCGAGTAACGATAGAGTGATGATGCACAGCATCCTGAAATAACAAGATATAAATTACAATGACTACTATCCCCATGGTAACTGATGTATGAGAGTATCCGCAGCACAAGTCAGCGATTATCCAGTATATCATATCTTCATTCTATCGTGATACATACACTGGATCCATTCGCGACCCTAGTTTCGTTTAGAGTTGGGTTGGAGGTGAGGTGAAGAGGGGTTTGACGTCGTGGTCACGATTATTGCACTGACATGTATAAAGCGACGTGCATGCGCGTGTGTGTGTGGCTGCATGTACTAGTCCGGACTAATGCGGGTTTTGTACTGCTAGCCAAGTGAGATACCATGCCTCAGTTTAACATGAATACATCACTCAGACACCGTTATACTGACTCCAAGCCTACCAGTCCTTGTTTAAGCTTCTTAATGGCGAGCGCCCTGCAGGGTTACAATAAGTACCCTCTTTAAACATCTTTTGGTATGACGCAAACCCGACCTTCCGCTCCCGGCGGACGCTCTACCACTTGGCCACGGAAGCGGTCGAATTCGGTTGGAATTACACGACGCAAGTTTTCTTTCATGACTGAAACAATTGCGATACAGTACTCGACTCGCCTTGTTGCGCATCGTCTGAAATACGGTTGGTAAAGCCTTGTAACATGACGACTTCTTCCCCCGTTCTTAATACTCGTGAAAACATTTTTTTCAAGCAAACCCTTGCTACAAGTCTCCTAATTCGATTAGATATTTCGAGAGATCTCTCTAACGAAGCCGCGGTTTTTATGTCAGATTTTTGCCAAACTCGCGTTCAGAAGAAGCACTTTGATTGGTTGTTGATTTCAAGTGCACGACATCGGGTAATTGTGTGATCCGTCACGTCCTAAACGAAGGTGCCGTGGTGAACGGGCCCATTACAACTACGGTTATAATGAACACGCTTATAACGAACTGACCGATATAACGAACTTATTTTTAGTCCCGGCCATTTGTTGTACATATGCTGTATATATGCTTATAACGAACTACGGTTATAACGAACTAAAATTAGTGGTCCCTTTGAGTTATAACCGTAGTGTACTGTATTTATCATAATAGAATAGAGATGTAATACCCTGTGTAATCGAGGATGTCTAGCACCCGATACCAGTTGTAAGAGCTAAGGAGCCGACTAAAAATAAGTTCCAAGTCATAGCACTTTGTGATCCATTTTTGTTTAACGCAGCGCTCAGCAATATTCCAGCTTTAGGGCGACGGTCTGTAAAATATCGAGCCTGGACCAGACAATCCGATTGGGATAGGATTACATTCATGAACCATGTCAGGCAGTTTGACCACCCGATCCCGTTAGTCGCCTCTTACGATAAGCATGGGTTGCTGAAGACCAGTTGTCATCAGGACGTTCACGGGTCGCGTAGTGATTGGCATGTGGCTGATTGTTCTGGTCGGGACTTTCATACTACCAGCCCTCCGAGACACCATTCCGCAGCTTGATGTGGATACTTACTGAGACACGGTATACTGACTCTAACCCGACTAGGGGCGGTCGGGTAGCCTAGTGGTTAAAGCGTTCGCTCGTCACGCCGAAGACCCGGGTTCGATTCCCGACATGGGTACAATGTGTGAAGCCCATTTCTGGTGTCCCCCGCCGTGATATTGCTGGAATATTGCTAAAAGCGGCGTAAAACCATACTCACTCACTCTAAGCCGACTAGACCTTGTTTTATCCCCTTACGTTCGAGCGCCATGCAGGGTATATACAACAAGTATATAATTATTTTAACCTATTGGTATTACGCGACCAGAAGTAATGAACACTCAGCGAAATCTGTCGAGTGGGGTCACCGTATTGGTCAGCACTATAACATCGGCATAACACGCACGCACGCGCGACATTTACCTTTCGAGAGCACAGAGAATCGGTCGTAAAATCTCAATTTTGTAACCCATCATGTTGGGTTAGAGAGAAGAACAATTACAAAAAATCGTTCAGTTATCTAATTTATTTCTGATGTGTGTTCGGCTATGTTACAATTACATGTTTGTTTCTCATGACCCACCGCCCCTAATATTGCCCTCCTCCTTATATTTTAATTAATATTCTTGAGCACATTTGTACACCACAATCCAACTTCTTCAATGCGCCATGTCATTCGCATTGTGTCAGATTCGCACGGTACCTGATATGGTCACCATATGGCCCGACTCGACACGAGTCGCAGGGGGTCGGGCTAGAAAGGTCATACGGTGCAATAGAATGAAGTTTACTTTTATTTATTGATAACCTATTGAAGATACACCCATCCCTTCTACGCCGTATGTTTTGGAAAACATCATGCCTAATAAACACATTTCAAAATGTCCTAAACCTATTTTCTAAGCGCTTGAGCCGATAAGGTAGGCACAACATAGCGGATATATATAATAATTAGTAAGAGACGACTACGGAATGCGGTGGTCAGGTCATCGTATCCCAATTACGTAGATCGATGCTCATGATGTCAATCACGGGATTGTCTGATCCAATCTCGATTATTTACAGACCGCCGTCAAATAGCTGGGATATTGTGAGTGCGGCGTTAAACAACAAACAAACAAAAATATAATGATTTTATGTAGAAAAGAATTACTTATTTGTTGCAATTTTCCTGCCATTACTTCAATGAATGCAGATGTATTTATTAACGTCTCACGCATATAAAATAATGAGTCTTTGATCTGAAATATTATAGCAGGTTCTAGCAGCATGATCGGTCAGGTTAGACTGACATTAAATCCCAGAAATAAAGCTCTTATTTCAGATTATATATCTAAAAAATACAAAAATAAAATCCAACTGGAGGGCACGACAATCCTTAAGTTCAGAGCTGTGGCAATTTATACTTGCCAAATCATTTTAGACTTGAGTTGGACTCATTTTTTTTGTTTAATCTCGTCGGTCTGGGAGACAAACTACTTCAGGACAGAAGATGATTAAAGGCATATCTTTAAGTTAACAAATGAAAATAATTTCCTACTATATGCAATTCATTCGATTTGTATCTGTAAATATGAGTCATGGCAGTAAAATATTCCCAATAATTTTCGGAGAAAATAGTAACACTTCCCCATAATTACTAGTTGTTGGAAGATTCACCGATGCATCGATGGATCGCGATATTTTACTTCTCGATACAACTATCGATTACGGTAGTAAACAAAGAAATGGATATTGATTCTTATCTTAACTGCTTGTTCTAATACTAGTAACTGTTACACCAAACACTTATTAATTAGTGGGGAAAACGTAAAAATTTTCATCCATTATACTTGATGGAGTATACTTGACACTGGCAACTGTAAATCAGTAGTGTGCAAGGTATTTGGGCTTCCTGTCTATGAAAAGGATGGCTCACGCACCACAGATAAGAGCACATGCCAGTATCGTGATACATATCGGATCGTGAGCAATGTATATATGTATCGAGTCGCACTCGGACAGTATGTGTATCGTCCCAGTCCTAATAATTACTGGACATGACAGTAATTGTATACTTCCCCTATAATCATTGGACAGGAATGAGCCAAGGCAGTTAACTGGCCATGAAAGTCCAGTTTCCACCCTTGCTGACATAGGCCGGAATTTATAAGTAATATTTTTGGCTGAACTAACCAGTCTATGCAAAGTCTAAACAAAATCGTGTAACGAAACTGGGCTTCGACCGATATTTTCCAACTCTGTTCCTGTTTTTGATAAAGTGCTCAAGTGCTGTGCTTCAACCCACATGCACTGGCACATAACTCGTAAATGCCACTGATGGCGCTACGATCGAGCCCAGAAATTCCAACCTAGTTCGGCAAGGGTGGAAACTGGACTTTTGTAGTCAGTTAACTCCCTTGCCTCAAGAAGATGGTTAATTACTCGAAGTGACAGTTATACTTTCTCATTTATTACTTGTCATGACAATTATACTTTCCAATATAATTATTGGAGATGACAGTAATACTTTTCCATTCGTTAATTGACGTGACAGGTATACTTTACCATTAATTACTGGACGTGACAGCTATACTTTCTCATTAATTACTGGATGTGACAGCTGTACTTTCCCATTAATTACTGGATGTGACAGCTATACTTTCCCATTAATTACTGGATGTGACAGCTATACTTTCTCATTAATTACTGGATGTGACGTTATACTTTCTCATTAATTACTGGACGTGACAGCTATAAGTTCCCATTAATTACTGGACGTGACAGCTATACTTTCTCATTAATTACTGGACTTTACAGCTATACTTTCTCATTAATTACTGGACGTAACAGCTATACTTTCTCATTAATTACTGGATTTTACAGCTATACTTTCCCATTAATTACTGGACGTGACAGCTATACTTTCTCATTAATTACTGGATTTTACAGCTATACTTTCCCATTAATAACTGGATGTGACAGCTATACTTTCTCATTAATTACCGGATGTGACAGCTATACTTTCTCATTAATTACTGGATGTGACAGCTATACTTTCTCATTAATTACTGGATGTGACAGCTATACTTTCTCATTAATTATTGGACGTGACAGCTACACTTTCCCATTAATAACTGGACGTGACAGCTACACTTTCCCATTAATTACTGGACGTGACAGCTATACTTTCTCATTAATTACTGGATGTGACAGCTATACTTTCTCATTAATTACTGGATGTGACAGCTATACTTTCTCATTAATTATTGGACGTGACAGCTACACTTTCCCATTAATAACTGGACGTGACAGCTACACTTTCCCATTAATTACTGGACGTGACGTTATACTTTCTCATTAATTACTGGATGTGACAGCTATACTTTCTCATTAATTACTGGATGTGACAGCTATACTTTCTCATTAATTATTGGACGTGACAGCTACACTTTCCCATTAATAACTGGACGTGACAGCTACACTTTCTCATTAATTACTGGACGTGACAGCTATAAGTTCCCATTAATTACTGGACGTGACAGCTATACTTTCTCATTAATTACTGGACTTTACAGCTATACTTTCTCATTAATTACTGGACGTAACAGCTATACTTTCTCATTAATTACTGGATTTTACAGCTATACTTTCCCATTAATTACTGGACGTGACAGCTATACTTTCTCATTAATTACTGGATTTTACAGCTATACTTTCCCATTAATAACTGGATGTGACAGCTATACTTTCTCATTAATTACCGGATGTGACAGCTATACTTTCTCATTAATTACTGGATGTGACAGCTATACTTTCTCATTAATTACTGGATGTGACAGCTATACTTTCTCATTAATTATTGGACGTGACAGCTACACTTTCCCATTAATAACTGGACGTGACAGCTACACTTTCCCATTAATTACTGGACGTGACAGCTATACTTTCTCATTAATTCCTGGATGTGACAGCAAAACTTTCTCATTAATTACTGGACTTAAAAGCTATAAGTTCCCATTATCCTTATCACGGACCTGTGTTGAAGGTGCGTGATTCGAATCCATATGTATTCGCGAGGGGATGTCACGGGTGGGCGTCCAAGAAGAGAGCTGGTTCTTGGTTTTATTGGTTTTCACAAACACAAAAGTGTAACTTCTCATGTGTAAACCACCGATCTAGACTACCAGTTATCGGACTTAAGTTGTTGCTGAAGAAAGTGTTTTCCCAAATATAGCATTTGTCACATTTGACCTCTTTCTAAATGACATCGTGTGTTCATTAATCCTATGGCATTTAATCTCTTTGGCTGATTGAATATTATCCACATATATTCATTTCAAAGCAATTTATTCATATGACACATAAATATATATAAATGAGGAATATCACGTACGACCTTTTGTGGCTATATATATGACTGATGATTGTATCCTATTAGGTGCTTCTCAAGTAGTTTTCAGACCGCCTCCGTGGTCTAGTGTTAGAGCGTCCGCCCGGAGAGCGGGAGGTCCGGGGTTCGATTCCCGGCCGAGTCATGCCAAAAGACGTTAAAAGATGGTACTTGTTGTTACCCCGTCTGGCGCTCGGCATTAAGGGGCTTAAACAAGGACTGGTCGGCCCGGAGTCAGTATACTGTGTCTGAGTGGGATATTCATGCTAAACTGCGGCATGGTATCTCAGTGAGCTAGCACTATAAATCGGCATCAGTCCGGACTAGTACGAGCAGCCACACACACACACGTACATGCACGTCGCTATATAAGTGCAATAATCATGGACGCGACGAATAACCCCATTTCACTTCACCTCCAGTAGTTTTCCTTTTAACACATATGGGCCACACCTGTTCTTTTCGTTGATAGGGGCGGTGGGGAGGCAGGGAGACAAAAATTAAATCGTGCATTCGCCATCCGGGGACCTCAATTCAGTACATGGGTAATTATGTGAAGCGAGTTCCTTCTTGAATGTTCATGATTATAAAGGTCGCGTAAAACCGAACAGAACGATCTTACTGAAAGTGTTGGAAATGAAATAAAATGTTTCATACTGTTTGCTGCGAAACGTTATATATGCTTTGGATTCAAGCTATTAGACGTAATGTCAGTATGTGCTATCATGTATATACAAAATACATATTGTTTATTATCGTATACGAGCCATTAAGATATTTAATTTATAAACAATATTTGTTGTAATATAATAATTTGCAGTACCCACCTGTGTGTCTTCGCCTTATGTCACTAAACAGACTGATAAGACAGCATGCTCTCACTTTATCTTTAAAGGTAGCTCACCTGATTCGGGTTTTCGCCAATCACAGAGAATCTTGTTTCAAGTGAGGCGAGATGCAATGGGGATTAAGTAAATTATAAAACACGCCTGCGATAAGTGTCAGGGCAAAGTGCCTTTCTTTAGAATATCCCTGGGTCAGTGAAATGTTTTATGTTTTTTTATGCCTTTTTTTTTTCGTTTACTGCCGTAATGCACCTCCAGTGATGACGTCATATATTATGTTAATAACTTAGGGCATAGGTCAATGTATCTGGACATTTACACCTTGGTTGTTGACAAACGAGACAGACATGATCGTTCGAGAAGTTTCGGGAAGTGACAGTTTCTAGAAGGTTGGCTGTTCCTATGTAGGAGTAACACGAGGGAGAGTCGAGGCCTTTTACAGCCTGACTTCGCTCAACTTTTCATTTGGCAAATATTTCTTGTGATTATGTAAAAGGTTTTGTCGCTTGTATTAGCATTGGAATTATGCGCAATTTCCCACCAGTGGCGTTCCGATTAAGGAATCGATTTCCATTCACTATGACTGAAAAAAGTAACTGTATTTCATGTAAAGTTCAATAAAAATGCATTTATAATCAAAGTAAATAGTGCATCTTTCGCTACATATTCATGAAGACATCTCCTCGACTTTAGGGTCGTGATTCACAATTTGTGCATGCATGTAAATGTACGTAATGTTAACGAAATATTAATGCACAATTTTGATGTTTGAGTGCTCATTGGGAGCATGATACCCATAAACGTTCTTGTTTAATGTGAACAACACACATCGATTGTTATGCTATCAGGTGCTCATGATACACTTTTGTGTAAGTAACGCTTACGGAATGCCGCGGCTTGCTGAAAATCAACATCTATGAGCCCAGGGCATGCAACAGTCAAGGATGGCGCAAAACGAAGTTACTTGTAAAGCGTGGCATCACAACACATAGGAGAACACTACTCATTATTGGTAATTTGAATGGCGTACGCTACAGGGAAGACATCGTTCGAGATCATGATCTCACCTTGGTGCAAATGCAGGGACGAAACGTCACGCTGCAGCATGATAATGCCTGCTCACACATTTCCGATGCTGCAACAGACGTTTTGAGGAAGATGGACTCTTCGACATATAACATGTCTGGGATAAGATAGCGCGACGCCTACGACAAGACCAGAATCAGCCGGTAACGCTAGCTCAGTTGGCGCAATCTTGGAACATCATCCCCAGGCTGTTTTTAATCATCTGGTGTCTTCAATGTACCTCCACTGCATCGCCTGTGTCAACGCAAATGGTGGTCACACACGATATTGACATTGTTAATTGAGTTGTGACACCACCCCTGTTTTGAGGGCGTGTGGCTCTGTCTCCTGTTGCCGGCTATTACTTAGTCATGATAAAACATTTATCAGGCAAATGACCAAATATTATGAGGTTATTTTTATATCAAAAGATTTACGCCACTTTAAATAAAGCCAGGTTACTTTTTTCCGCTTGTATATGTACATATATTATTGTATATGTCTAGATTTTATCAAATATGATAAAGATTTAAAAGCAAAATTTTAATGGGATTCAAGCCCATTGACGTGTGAGTAAGGAGGTCGGGAAGATGTGAGCTCAGTATCAGAAACGACAAACATGAGGTACTAAGTCATTAACAGTCTCGCAAGTACAAGCGAGAAGACTATTACATCTAACCCAACTATCTGTCAAACAAGTGCTGATAGGCTCGGTGAAGAACTTGATGAGTCTGATTCACATCTGTTGACATGACTCACATACACCTTGATGATAATACCTTCTTAAGTGGCGTTATCCCCAATTCACACACATCCCTACTTCTAGCCATTAGTCATTTGCATTCTGTACATCCATACACATTGTTTTGGAAAATAAAAACTACTGTTCCTTCAGTAACAGTTAGGATCTCTTTATCATGCAAATTGTTTTCTTTATTGGTGACATGTTAAGTTACATACCTAAACGTACCACCCATCTCTCGGGCCTTGAACAGTTACCCTGTGTGTATCACCCATCTCTCGTGTCTTGAACAGTTACCCTGTGTGTATCACCCATCCCTCGTGCCTTGAACAGTTACCCTGTGTGTATCACCCATCTCTCGTGCCTTGAACAGTTACACTGTGTGTATCGCCCATCTCTCGTACCTTGAACAGTTACCCTGTGTGTATCGCCCATCTCTCGTGTCTTGGACAGATACCCTGTGTGTATCACCCATCTCTCGTGCCTTGAACAGTTACACTGTGTGTATCACGCATCTCTCGTACCTTGAACAGTTACCCTGTGTGTATCGCCCATCTCTCGTGCCTGGAACAGTTACCCTGTGTGTATCACCCATCTCTCGTGCCTTGAACAGTTACACTGTGTGTATCGCCCATCTCTCGTACCTTGAACAGTTACACTGTGTGTATCACCCATCTCTCGTGCCTTGAACAGTTACCCTGTGTGTATCACCCATTCTCTCGTGCCTTGAACAGTTACACTGTGTGTATCGCCCATCTCTCGTACCTTGAACAGTTACCCTGTGTGTATCGCCCATCTCTCGTGTCTTGGACAGATACCCTGTGTGTATCACCCATCTCTCGTGCCTTGAACAGTTACACTGTGTGTATCACCCATCTCTCGTACCTTGAACAGTTACCCTGTGTGTATCGCCCATCTCTCGTGTCTTGGACAGATACCCTGTGTGTATCACCGATCTCTCGTGCCTTGAACAGTTACACTGTGTGTATCACCCATCTCTCGTACCTTGAACAGTTACCCTGTGTGTATCGCCCATCTCTCGTGTCTTGGACAGATACCCTGTGTGTATCACCCATCTCTCGTGCCTTGAACAGTTACACTGTGTGTATCACCCATCTCTCGTGCCTTGAACAGTTACACTGTGTGTATCACCCATCTCTCGTGCCTTGAACAGTTACACTGTGTGTATCGCCCATCTCTCGTGTCTTGGACAGATACCCTGTGTGTATCACCCATCTCTCGTGCCTTGAACAGTTACCCTGTGTGTATCACCCATCTCTCGTGCCTTGAACAGTTACACTGTGTGTATCACGCATCTCTCGTGCCTTGGACAGTTACCCTGTGTGTATTGCCCATCTCTCGTGTCTTGAACAGTTACACTGTGTGTATCGCCCATCTCTCGTACCTTGAACAGTTACACTGAGTGTATCACCCATCTCTCGTACCTTGAACAGTTACACTGTGTGTATCACCCATCTCTCGTCCCTTGAACAGTTACACTGAGTGTATCACCCATCTCTCGTCCCTTGAACAGTTACACTGAGTGTATCACCCATCTCTCGTCCCTTGAACAGTTACACTGTGTGTATCACCCATCTCTCGGGCCTTGAACAATTACACTCTATGTATCACCCATCTCTCGTGTCTTGAACAGTTACCCTGTGTGTATAACCCATCTCTCGTGCCTTGAACAGTTACACTGTATGTATCACCCATCCCTCGTGCCTTGAACAGTTACCCTGTGTGTGTCACCCATCTCTCGTGCCTTGAACAGTTACACTGTGTCTATCACCCATCCCTCGTGCCTTGAACAGTTACCCTGTGTGTGTCACCCATCTCTCGTGCCTTGAACAGTTACACTGTGTCTATCACCCATCTCTCGGGCCTTGAACAATTACACTCTAAGTATCACCCATCCCTCGTGCCTTGAACAGTTACCCTGTGTGTATTACCCATCTCTCGTGCCTTCAACAGTTACACTGTGTGTATCGCCCATCTCTCGTACCTTGAACAGTTACACTGAGTGTGTCACCCATCTCTCGTGCCTTGAACAGTTACACTGTGTGTATAACCCATCTCTCGTGCCTTGAACAGTTACACTGTATGTATCACCCATCCCTCGTGCCTTGAACAGTTACCCTGTGTGTGTCACCCATCTCTCGTGCCTTGAACAGTTACACTGTGTCTATCACCCATCCCTCGTGCCTTGAACAGTTACCCTGTGTGTGTCACCCATCTCTCGTGCCTTGAACAGTTACACTGTGTCTATCACCCATCTCTCGGGCCTTGAACAGTTACCCTGTGTGTGTCACCCATCTCTCGTGCCTTGAAGAGTAACATTGTATTTTTAACCCATGTCTCGTGCCTTGAACAGATACCCTCTATGTATCACCCATCTCTCGTACCTTGAACAGTTACACTGTGTGTATCACCCATCTCTCGTGCCTTGAACAGTTACACTGTGTGTATCGCCCATCCCTCGTGCCTTGAACAGATACCCTCTATGTATCACCCATCTCTCGTACCTTGAACAGTTACACTGTGTGTATCACCCATCTCTCGTGCCTTGAACAGTTAAACTGTGTGTATCGCCCATCTCTCGTACCTTGAACAGTTACACTGAGTGTATCACCCATCTCTCGTGCCTTGAACAGTTACACTGTGTGTAACGCCCATCTCTCGTACCTTGAACAGTTACACGGTGTGTATCACCCATCTCTCGTGCCTTGAACAGTTACACTGTGTGTATCACCCATCTCTCGTCCCTTGAACAGTTACACTGTGTGTATCACCAATCTCTCGGGCCTTGAACAATTACACTCTATGTATCACCCATCCCTCGTGCCTTGAACAGTTACCCCGTGTGTATAACCCATCTCTCGTGCCTTGAACAGTTACACTGTATGTATCACCCATCTCTCGTGCCTTCAACAGTTACACTGTGTGTATCGCCCATCCCTCGTGCCTTGAACAGTTACACTGTATGTATCACCCATCTCTCGTGCCTTCAACAGTTACACTGTGTGTATCGCCCATCTCTCGTGCCTTGAACAGTTAAACTGTGTGTATCGCCCATCTCTCGTACCTTGAACAGTTACACTGAGTGTATCACCCATCTCTCGTGCCTTGAACAGTTACACTGTGTGTAACGCCCATCTCTCGTACCTTGAACAGTTACACGGTGTGTATCACCCATCTCTCGTGCCTTGAACAGTTACCCTGTGTGTATCACCCATCTCTCGTCCCTT